CACCATTTTTGGTGCAGAGGAAACCTACATTTTCCCCCCCATCCAGCCTCCCCGTGCCCCCCCCCCCTCCCCCTTATCTAGCTAATCCAGATTCTGGTTTTGGTTTCGTGCTGCTCGTCTTTTTTTAGCCTGAAAGCCATGTGCCACTCACTCCTACTCTCCCTCTGCCTCTTTCTCCATCTTTTTCTCCCACTGCCACCCACTCAATCCCTTTCACCTCTTCCCACTCCATTTTCTCATCTTTCAGTGTATGTGATAGTATGTGCACCGCAGATTCCATGTGCATGCAGGGACATTGGGTTTGTGTGCCCGGGTGGCAACATATGTGGTCTGCCATCCTGTCTGTGGCTTGGTGCCCACAAGAATGTAAAGCCCTGTTTGTGATTGTATCTGGTAAAAAAAATAATAAATTCTAAAACAAGAACTGCAGTATTTTTGTGTCCATGCAACACTTCTTCGCTGCAGCCACAGGTTTTCAGCAGCATGCTGAATTTTTCATGTCATTTTAGCATTTTCAAACACTTGCATGAAACAGTTGCCTATTAATTTCTGCAGCTCGCAGATTTTGCACTCCAGGCAACTGTGTCAGGGAGATACACGCAAATAAAAAGACCATCCATGCAGTCTCACTAATCTTAGCATGTGTGAAGTCCTTTCCTATCGGCTAATAAGACCCAGAGTTCAATCCTCGCCACAGAAGAAATAAGGAACACGTACATAAATCTTTGCATATTCACGGAAAATAGCAGACGGTTATTAGCCAACGCAAATTTGAACATGTTAGTGGTCCTTGTCATTACATTTGAATTTGTATTTCTATTGCACAGTCTGACAGCGATACACTCAGACATCACTATTTACCCACGTTTTTCCCCAACTGTTGCAAACCACTGCACACTATAATTTGACAAGTTACGACTCATTTTCAAGACACCATTACCGAAATTATTGGTTCCAATGTAGGATTGTACATGACAGAAAATTATCCTCATCGTAATATCAATTTAGCAAAGCTTAGACTACAATACAGCAAAAAAAATCACCTTAGTTCAACAAGTAAGTACCATGCATCCATGTTCTCCCAGCAGATAATATTTTAGTCAATCCAATAATAATAATAATAATAATAATAATAATAATAATAATAATAATAATAATAATAATAATAATAATAATAATAATAATAATAATAATAACTCTCAGGCCTTGATGTCCACACATGGTTTGGATGATAGTGATAACAGGAGATGATGTGAGGAGTAAGAAAATGTGGGTTTATCACAAGTGATGTTGCAAAAATAAGCAATATTGCACATCTCAACTTTTTCCTAATACTAGGGCTGCACGATATCAAGAAAACCTGCGATGTGCGATAACAGTGCTCATTGCGATGACGATATGACTTGCGATAAATCAACAAATACTTAAGTATGCAGTGTTGATGTTTTTCTGCTCTGGGTTCAGAGCAAAAAACAACTAATACATAGTTTCCATTACAACATGATGGAGTGATTATGATTTAATGTTGTTTTTCTAGTTCATTTTATTTATCAGACTGATGCTGACAAACCACATAAATGCAAACATTGGAGCCAATCATTTATTACAATTTATGCATTTTTTGCGATATGCATTTTGTACTGGCTGTTATCGCGATAACGATAATTTTGTGATATATTGTGCAGCCCTACCTACTACTGTGCAACACTATTCCAAATTAAGAGTGTTTGAGTTGTCCTGTAACTGGAGGGTTGCCGGTTCGATCCCCCTTACTAGTTGTCTCAGGCGTTGCATCCTTGGGCAAGACACTTCATCCGCCTTGCCTACTGATGGTGGTAAGATGGTCCGGTGGTACTGGTGCATGGCAGCCCCACCTCTGTCAGTGTGTCCCAGGGCTGCTGTGTGTGGCTTCAGCGTGTGAATGTGTGTGTGAATGGGTGAATATCTGTAAGTGCGAAGCACTTTGGGGTCCCCATGGGGCTTGATAAAACGCTATAGGACTTCAGTCCATTTGCTATTTACCATATGATGCAACATAAAAGGATTTTTGGTTCAATATTAGAGTTAAAATGAAAATGTTCTCTGCAGAACTTTCCTCACTCCAGTACATAAGCACTCTTTACTTTAACATATTTGTGACCTATCCCTATAATGAACAAGTACATTCGTAGTTGTGGATTTACTTAACAAAAATGAAAAACATGCGTACGCAATACCAGTGAAATGTTAGAACACACCAACTCTGCGTATGCATATTATTAAAAGGTCTGTGATGTACAGCATGGCTGCTGGTGTCACACATTCCATTTTTCAGCTCCTCAGCAAAGTACAGCTGAAAACATATGCACGGATTGTGAACAGACTCGCAGAAAACATCATCTCTCATCAAGTAGGACTGAATGCAAGCCCATTAAATGTAATGGCCTATTTTCAGATTGAGACAAACAGTACAGCACAGCACTCGTTCACTGGAAATTAGAAGGAACTTTCAACTCACATAAACTTTTGGCATTTTTCTTTAGTTTTATAAAAGAAATTTACTTTTCTGTCGATCTATAAGATGTTTGCTTTTAATATACTGCTTGATAAAACAGCAATATATTTTAGATGTAAAATTGTTGTAGTGTTTTAAACAATATTACACAATATTTCTGTAATTTACAAACTAGGGCTGTGAAATTAATCAAGTTAACTCTGATTAATTTTAGTGCTGCATGGGTAGATTAAAAATTTTAATCATGATTAATTGCAATTAAAATTTACATTCACTTTACTATGGCTGAATATGTAGGTTTGTATATTGCAATGCACTCAGTGCATGCCAGATCATGTTTGTAAATGAGAAGTGGTTCTCAAACAMTTTACCTGGATAAATAAAGGCTAAATAAATAAATAAATTTAAAAAAATACTCCACGTGTAGCACATTATGTACAGTTTTTTTTTCTTTTTGTCTTCTTATGGCTTATTTTATTTTATTTATTTATGTTWTGCTGACAACTGTGACCTTAGTACCTATCTTTCATTCCTCATGTAGTACTCATTTGGAATGAAAATCCTTGAATTCTTGATTTAACCATTATTCTGCACAAAACTTAACTGACTCAAATATGTTTGGAGCATTTTTAAGGTCCTGTTTTATATTAAACAAATCTTGTCTAAGCATCAATTTTGTTTTCTAAACAAAAACATTAAAAACTAATTAATAACTCAAGTAATTTATTTTATCAATAGAAACGTTTATTAAATTTAAGATTAATCATGATTAATTCACAGCTACTTTGGGATTAATCAGTTTAAAAATATTAATCATTTGACAGCCCTAATACAAACAAACAAAAATAGCCAGAAAATATCAGTGTTTGGGTGGTAATTAGTGCAATTTTAATTGATTAATTCCTACAAATTCTCATTTATCTGTATAAATCTGTATTTGCAGGGGTAATTATGGCTGTTGTAGTTACTACATTTACATCAGTTCTTCTTAGCTCACATTTATTGACCTAAAAACCAACAAATTTTGATTTTGTAAATGCAACAAGACTTCAAACGTATTTAACACTGCTGCTGCCATCAGTACGTGAATGTGCGTACGAATGGTTAAACAGCTACAGTGTGAAGTGTTTTGGAGTCTATGGGGACTTGATAAAAAGTTCAGGGCATTTAAAATTTAAAAACCAACAAACCCTGATTGTGCAAATGCAACAAGACTTCACACATTTATTTAATACTGCTGCCCCAGGTTTACGTCCCAAATGTGAGAACCACAATTTACTTGTGCTGGTTCAGACAGACTTGGAAAGCACAATTTGATCTTCCACTGATCTTGTTGCATATTTGATCAAAACGTCTTTCTCTGCTGCTCCCATCACAGAAGCAGGGAGATTTTTTTTAATTAACTGAGAAGAATAACAAACACCAGCTTGGGTACATCAGATTAAATTAATAAGATATTGGTGAAGCGGAGTAGATGGTTTTCTTGCAACGGAGGAAGTGACATGGGAGACACGCTTGGGCAAATAAAAGACAGAACACATCTGCCATGAAGCCTGCGGAGGCACAAAGTTTCAATTTGAATGAAACTTTACTCCTTCAAATCAAGCATACACTGTACTGATGCAGCCTTACATGGCTCTGATCCACGCACCTATCTACCTCAACAAACACAGTCCCAGGGAATCTGTTGTAAACATGAGGAATATTTTTTCATTTCCAAAATACAATTATAGCCCAGTTTCGGTTGTGTTTTGCATCGGTTCTGATTCAGACTATTGCAACAATAACTGAAGCTCACTTAGAAAACAGTTTGATATGATGGAGTGTCTTCAATATTCTTAAACAGCTCATGACACAGGCCTAGTGCTTGATTTTTTTTTCTTAGAGAAACATACAGTGACAAAAGTTGTTTTTTTCATTGCAGATTACTTTTTATTTATATTAGATAGGAGAGAGGACAAGTATTTTCTTATTTTTTATAATAATAATAATAATAATAATAATAATAATAATAATAATAATAATAATAATAATAATAATAATAATAATAATAATAATAATAATAATAATAATAATAATAATAATAATGCAGCCTGGTTAATCAAATATTTGATACAACATACGTGATGAAACAGCTATTAAATAAGAAAAGACAAGCCAGCATTATAGGTATTAGCATTTCACTTTACCTGGTTAGATCTGGTAATATAAACCTGTCWAGTTTTAGTGTTTGTGGAGCATATAATTGCCAACATTTATAAATGCAATCCACATGCTGCAGATTAACTGCGGTCCTGGGGGTGACGTGTGTCACAGAGCATCATACTCATTCATGCAGCCTAAAGGTGGCATCCTGTGGGCCTGACAGAGAGAAGTGGTCTCAGATAAATGTGTGTCAAACGGCAACACTTGGCTTAAAACGCTGGGTCCCACTGTCCGTGTTGTGACAGCTTCGCTGCTCAGTGTGTGTGCACAAACCTACCATCCGGTAGCTGCTGCTGCTCACCTGTATTTTGACGATGCCCTGCCGAGACCCGCTGCATCGGTTCCGCTCTCTTTCCCATATCCCACCGACTGTCGACCCGCCTCAGCCTCAGCCTCAGCCTGAGCCCCGCTCTCGCCTCAGCCACCGAATCTGGGTCGGGTGGACGAATTCTCAAAATGTGTTCAGCGTTTGAATTAAAAGAACCGTGCAGACGTCATTCCAGCAGAAAGATGAATGGACTCCGACACARCAAAGCGCTGGAGCCTCCGTCGGGTGTGTAGCAGAACTCACACATACCATCAAGTGCGAAATTAATTACACGGCCGCTCGCTCGGGACTGACGGCTCGGTTCTCTGCTTTAACTGCAACACGTCTTCGGCTGTGGCTCCTCACAGTGTGGATCATTCCCATTTCCTTCCGTCACAGCTGGGCACGGTGATTTCTAACGACACAGCAGTCCGCCCTCTCGTGTTTAACGACGAGTTCTTCGGGTTTCGTGGTGTACGTACTGGCCAGGGGTGAACCGTCAACCCGGGACGACTTCCGAATCCCGACACCTTCAGCGGCTACAGCTAAAAGGAAGGCAGCGTTTTCGCGAGAATCAAGCCCATCCCATGGGACATTTTTCCCACCGAAAAATACGTACGTTTGAGCTATTCCCTCTTCCGCACACAGCTGCGCAAATGCCGTAAATTACCCTTTTACGTACACCTGACCCGCTCTTTGGATACTTGGGGAATTTTTGCGGAGGAGGAGCGCCACCGGTGGTTTGTGAATACCAAAGATGGGTGACTCGTTCAAAGAGTAGTGCTTTGTGAGATGTTGCCGCTCCCATATGTGATGTCATCAAGAAAACCTAGTGGAGAGACAACACTCTAGTTCTATTATTTAACATTTTGTGAAAGCTACCGCTAAAATTGGCGCTAGGCTACGTATGGAAAAATATCGAAGCCTGATGTGGTACGCATGCGCAGATTGGCGCTTACTAGTGTTTTCCAGCGACGTTCGTTGTTACCACGGTGACGACACTGTAACACAGGCAAAACAGGAGTGCTATTAAATCACCAAAACACACAGCTTAGGAAATACATTTCCCACATTATGAATACTTTTTAATTATTATTATTAGACGGTGTAAAATATGTTACTTAAAGTACCATTTTTATATTTTTAGCACAAATTTTAACCACAAAATCTTAGTGTAATGGTCAGTTTAAAAGGAGCCCATTGCTAAGTTAAACATAAAACATGTTCTGAACTACATGAAATGGGGAAGTTTGAGTTCACTCCAATATTTTTATTTTATTTTTAGTTTATTTATTTGTTTTTTTATGCAATTTTGAAATGTGGGTCTACCCTAAATGTTAACAAAGCACTCAGCTGAATCGACCAAAAACAAGCTTAAATCTCATATTTGGTCTACATTAGGCTGGCTATAGTCTGTGTAGTTTTAAGGTTAGATCTTTTTTAAAGTTTGACCTATTTGCAGTTACCTTTTTTCTGTGCTATCAATATGACTTTTGGAATAAGTACTTTTAAAATTGCAATAAGTGTGGATGACAAATTTGGCCTTCCAATATTTGTTTTGTCTTTTTATGGTCAATATTTGGCATCTCTTTTCTAAAAGTGACATTTTTAATTAATTTTTGATTATTTAAATGAGTGACTTTGTGTAATTGTATCACAGTGTTTTTAAATGGCCACGTACAAAACTGGAAGTAAAAAGAGGATTAAAATTTAAGATGCTGATCTATTTTTTTTATTCATCAAAGATGTTTAAACCCCAATTTTTTTCAATAAATAAAATATATTAATACCATAATCATTTATAATATCTGGCCTTATGAATGGGAATGTCTTTTTTTCAACTTGGGAAATATTTTCGAAATATATGATAATTTTAAACGTTTTTTCTAATATTGGGTTGTTAAACGCCTACATTACGTATTGTTTTCTTGGTATATGTTCTTTGAATAGTATTTAAAAAGGTGTGGAATCCATCACCCTATACATCCACAGTTACTTATCATATGCAAAAGGGGAAAACTGGTGTTATAGTTATTAAAAATGTAATAAAACATGTAAAAAAATATCCAAATCGTGTTAAAATACTCCATCAATTTAAAACTAGTCAAATCGCATGGCTCAACCCTTCTGACCAATAGGACTTTTTATGAAAGCCTATTAGAAGATTTAAATGTGCATGTATTGTTTTTTGACAATTAATTTAGACACTTCACAAATTATTGTGAACCCAGGGAATTAATTTTCAGCTTTCATTTCGAGAATTTTGAAGTTTCGTTGTCTTGTGAGTCTGCAGCAACTTTCGGTATTTCTGATGGGCCTCTGTAGGGAAAAATAGAGATTAAAAATAAACGGAGTTTCAATTCTTATACAAACTGTCAATAAAATTATTTTTAATATGCCAATAAAATATTTCTTTACCATAGAATGTGTGAACTACATTTTAATGCACAGTCAAAGTAAAGAAATTTCCTCCTGAAAGAAAAAAATTATATATATACTGTATACACACACACACAC